CAGGGGCAGAAAGGAGAAGACAGGAGGAGCCCGGGGAAGAAGGAAGGCTTCCAGAAGGGAGGCGAGGGGGGTGGGCGGGGGAGGAAGGGGGACGAGGGGGGAGCAGGAAGGGAGAAGAAAGGGGAGAATGGGGAAAGCAGCGGAGGATGGCAAGAAGGCGGCGCGGAAGGGCGAAGCGAAGGCGGGCCGGGTGCGGGTGGGTGCGGGTGGGAGGCGGGTGGCTGTAGAGAATCGCGGCGGCCAGCGGCTCTCGGACGTGCGCTTGCCTCGCGCACACGGGCCCGGTCGGTCTTCGCCTTGGCAAAGCCTCGGCGCCTTTATAAGATTCTCAGTGACCCTCCTAATTGGTTATTAATGACGCCCTGACGTCGGAGGACAGACTTGTTGGACCCGGCCGGCTCGAGGAGCCTTCGCCACCACAGCTCCCCATTCGCTCCTCCCGCCCCTCCCCAGCCCTTCCTCCCCCGCCCTCCTCTTCCTCCTCCTCTCCCCTTGGGAAGCCGGGCTGGGAGGGAGGCTCCGCTTGCCTCCAAGAGAGGAGGGGATGGAGCTGGGGAGGGGGCTCAGCGAAGTTCAGTTTGCTTGGACCCCAGAGACTCTACTGGGCGGGAGGAGACGCTGGCCTCGGGCAGGGCCGGGCTCACCCATTGTCCCAGGCCCGGACAGGTCCCAAGCTCCTGGGCCCGACCTAGGGCTCCGGGCACCACGTCCTGGACTGTGTAGTCGCCCCAGAACCCGCAGGCCCAGCGCGCAGATGGATCTGCCTGAGCGCTTCGCTTCGCTTCAAACGGGCGCTCCGATCCCTCTGCTTGCTGCTCACAGTCGGTGTGAAACCATCCCTGGGCGAAGAGGGCTGCTTGACCGGCTGCAGGCGCGGTCCGGGCTGGGCCGTGACTGACACGGATGGGCTCCGGGCGACGGGCTCCTGGCCGGGGGGCTAGGTCCGGAGGGGCAGACCGAAATCCGCACTAGCCACGGGTGGCTCGGGAAAGGCTTTCCAGCCGGATACAGGGGAGATGCGGGTGGAAAGGGTTTCCCGACCGCACTGAGTGGGAGCAGCCGTGCCCAGAGCGATGTCTTCTGAAACGGCAGGCAGTCCCTGGCCAGGCCCCGAGGGCTCGGGGCTCCATACTCAGGCCTCCTGGCTCCTCCGCTCAGTTGTGATCTTGGGAAACCGGTTGCCTTCCCGAACTCCTTCCTTCTTGCCTTCTACCTCTCTTTCTCCTGCAACCTCCATCTTCTCCCCTTTCCTCCCTCCTCCTCTGCCCCCACCCCGCCAGGAGACTCTCTGCTCCGAGGCTCCCAGGCACCTGAGTGCCAGCGCAGCCTCTCTCTTGGCCTCTCTCCGGGACGGGAGCTGCTGAGCCCACAGCCAAGGCGGGAAGGCCACAGCTTCCTACAGGCTCTGCTGACTCCGGGGGCTAGTTTCAGGTCCCCAACTCCAGTGCCAGACAAGGGAGGGAGGCATGGGGACACCTCCCCCAACCTGCATAGCTCCTCGGCGCCTTTCCCCACCCACATTATGTCAGATTCCGTTAACAGCATCGGGCTAGCTGGAGGAAGCCGACTCCCCAGGCTTCTCCGCAGGGTGGGAACTCGGTGGAGAGGCAGGGGGACAGGCCTTCCCACCAGGCGTGGTTGTCCTCAGGCCCCTTGGCAAAGAGCCCCCTCCACCATGGGGTCCGGCCTTTACTAAGCCATCCTCACACCTGGCAGCCCTGGATCCCCGGCCTCTGCATGCTAGGTTCTGGCCAGTGATCTCCGACATCCCGGGTCGCATCCGGGGGTAGGCTAGGACGTGGGCAAACCTCCGGCTTTCAGACCCGGGGTCCAGAGCCGGCCAGAGGCTGATGCCTGGGAGGTTGCACCGGGCAGAAGGCGCGACCTTCGGGCCTAGCCAGCAGAGGGCAGCGCTGCGGAGGAGAGAGCGCAGCCCCCGAGTCAGGGTCCCTTCTAGACGCCTCCAGCGAGTCACAGTGGCTCTGGCTTGAGCCGAGGGCGCTGGCACGGGAGTCTCACCGGCGCCAAGGACTTGGCTTCTGCGAAGACTTGGTAGAGGAGGCAATGCGCCCGAGGAGGAGGAGACTACATCGGGGAGTGCCGCCAGGGGCCACGAGCGCAGCTCCCAAGCCCCGCAGCCACCCTCAGCGCCTCGGGGAGACCCAGGCGATGAGGACCCGGCCCTTCTCCGCTCTGGGCGACAGTGGCCCCGTGCGTGCAGTTGTTTGGGCTGCACTTTGTGAACGGAGGTTTCTTTCGCCTTGTCTGTCTTTGGGTCAGGTGACTCCTGCAAGCCCTGAGGATTTTGCCAATTCCAGACCACACCCCGCTAAGGAAAGTCCTCTGGCGGGCAACATTTGGGTCCTAACCCCACCTAGGGGTCAGAAGGTGAAAGGATCGCGGGCTCCGACCGCCAGGGAGCCCTATTCCTTTTGCGGAGACCCACAAATCCAGGGAGCGGTGTTGGGGGTTGGGTGGACGCGGCGCCCAGAATAGCCATCCAGCTCGTGCGCCGCCCGCTAGCCCCACGGGTCTCCACTGGGAGCTCACATTCTGTGCTTCTGGTCTGGCCGCAGACCCACCTGGGTCGGCTCCAGGAGGGAGTCCTATAGGAAGCGCCCCAGTCTCAGGGCCCCTTGAAACTGGGGAGCCAAGAAGCTTGCGTTTTCACCTCCCCTGGCTGAGACTGCGAGGGCGAACACTGCACCTTCAGGGGGTTCTCCGCGGTCGAACCCTGCCGTTTTCCACGGAGGCCAGTGTGCGGGCACGAAAGCCCCCTCCGCTAGCCCGGGCCGGCCAGAGCTCGCAGGCCCGCCCCGCCCCCCGCGCCCCCGCGGGCCGCTGCTCCGCGATCTCTTTAATATTCATGGGCGTTAATAGAGAGGCCCCCAGTATATCGGTCCTTTGTGGGCAGCTCGTAGGGCTTGAATAGGCTCCGGCCCCCTTTCTTCGGTGCCGTTTCCCGAGGGGCCGGGCCAGGAGTGAATGGCCCCGCTTCCCGCCCCGCGCCCCCACCCCCTTGCAGAGAGAACATCTTTATCCCCGCAGCCGCCGCCCGGGCCCCCATTCACGCGGCCCGGGCTCCGGGCAGAACGAATCAATCGGCCGCGGCTCTTCGGGAGGTCATCCTCATGGCCGGTCTCTCCCTTCTCGCCGAGCCCACGGGAGTGGAGGGAGGCTGAGGCAGGCTGACGGGCCTAGGGATTAGGGGGCACGGGCTGGGTCGCTGGGCAGCACCGGGCGCGGTGTGCCGGCCCGGGCAGGGAGAGGAACTCGGGGTCCCGCGCCACGGGGGCCGGCTGATTTCTACCTGTTGCCCCGACAGGGAGGAGCGCGGAGAGAACCAGGGCCGCGCCTAAGCCCGAGCGCCGTCCTGCCCCCCCGCCTCCAGGCAGCGGTGCGCGCCCCTTCGGCTGAGGGGCCGAACCCCAGAGGCCTGGCGCACGGAGCGAGGGGCTCCCAGGCCCCGCGGCCAGACCCGCAGGGCACTTCCGTTCCCGCCTGTGCGCCCAGGTCTGGGTCGCGCTGCAGTGGGGTGTCTGGAGGGCACCCTGGCGGAGGGGGTGCGCGTCGGTCAGGCCCGGCCGAGGCGCACAGGTCCCCGCTCCTCCGCCCCGCCGGCCCTGCGAGGCGCAGAAAGGAGCCCATTGTCCGCGGGGAAACACATTTTTGGGGGCCGAGTGAAAGCCCGTCTTTCTTTTGAACTTTAGAAGAGGCTTCTGCCCTCGCCCTCGGAGGGAGAGATTTGTCCCCCCCGCACCGGCCCGCTCGCCGCCTCCTCCCGAAACATCTGCCGGGGAAAATCCACCCTGGAGGGCAGATCGCGCTCGCTCTAAGCCCCGCGAACTCATTAAAAAGATATTAGCGGTGGGGGCGGCTCCCGCGCGGGCATCGATCGGCCGGAATGAGCCCGAGGGGGAAAAGGCGAAGAATGTGGATGCACCGCGCCCCGACCCCCGACCCTGGTCCCCACCGCTGCGCCCCAGCCTTGCGGCGGGAGTGGGGCCCTGCGCCGTCCTTTCGTCCCGTCGTCCGGCTGCTTGGGGCTCCCCAGCCCCTTCCCGGTCCTCCCCTCTCCCTGGGCGCCCCCTCCTCTCCTCGCCCGCCGGCGGCCCAGTCTCCCCTCTCCTTCCTCCTCGGCGCGCTGGCCGCACCGTCGCGCTCTCCACTTTGGCGTCTCTCCTTGTTCCTGCTTCTCACCCTCCTTCCCCGGAGCCCTCCTCGCCGGCCGCCCCGCGCGGGCTGTCTCCTCCCCCTCCCCCCAGATACCTGGTCCCGTTTCCCTCGCCGCCCGGGGCTCGGTCTCTCCCGGTCCCCGTCCCCGGCCCTGGGCCCGGAGAGGTTTCTTCCCCGCCCGGGTCCGGTGTGCTCTCCCCTGGCCCCGTCCCCGCAGGCCGGTTCCTGGGGCGTCAGGGCGCCCCTCAGAGGGCTCGTACAAAGCCTCGACGGGCTGCCCCCGTGCCGGTGGGTGCGGGGCCGCCACAACGTCGGGGCCCCCCACCAACCGCTTTTCAAATGGGACGCGACCTTGGCACCCGTGTACAGGGAACAGCCCCCGAGGCAACCCGTGAAACAGGGAAAAAGGCGCCCCCCCCCCCTCCCCCCAAGAAGCCCCTCCGAAGGCCCCAGAAAA